CCTGGGTTCCCTCTCCCTCCTCCCAGAGGCCTTTTGGCAATCCACAGCTAACTCCTAAAACTCATCCCAGATTGAAAGGGGCATAGGTAGGTACGCATGGGACTGTGTGGGTATAGGGGCTGGACCAGGGAAGAGGCAGAAAGGGTCCCAGCCAGTCCATGAGAGATTTTTGCCCTGTTGTTGCAGCCACCTTTCCCCTCGAGCAGTTCAGGTTCTGAAAAGCTTGGAGCCCTTCAAAACACGTCAGGAAACATTCAAGCATGTTGCTGAGAGGAACAGACAGAAGCAAGAGGAACAGAAGCAGTTCCCCTGGTAAATATCTCCAAAGGAGGAGGATGTTTTCCCCTGCTGCAATGTCCATTCTTCCACTGATTTCGACTGATGGCAACGCCAGGGTAAAGATATTTCCCTGACACTCCTCCTGAGACAGGAAGAGGTTTTGAGTATGACATTGAAGTGGATGTCCCTGAAATCTGGCAAAATAGATTGTGCCAGAATAGATTTTCAACATGAGGTGTAAAAGACCTGACTGAAGGCAAAAGGATCTCTCTGCTGTTTGGCTCTCCCCTTTTCCAAACAGCGTAGTCTCTCCTTCCACCACAGAGCACTGACACTCAGACCCCCTTCCCTAAGGATTGGCCCTTTTCCAAACAGCGTAGTCTCTCCTATCTCACCATCACAGAGCACTGACACTCAGGCCCCTTTCCCTAAGGATTGCTTCCTGTTCAGGCCAAGGTCTCAGCCCCACCTGACTCAGCCCCAGATGGATTAGCTGCCCATGAGACCTTGTCATGGTCTTGGGCACAATATGTCATTCTATCACATCACAAGCATATCCCATCACATATGGCCTGAGTTAGGCCTGCAGCATTTCTCGGCTGTTCATACGACTGTTCATCTTTCTGTTTAACTTTCTAGCACTCGGAGAAGATGTTGGTACAGCACTGCAAGACAAGCTACTAAGAACAGCAGTTGTACAAAGCACAGATGAGCACCAGCAATAAGCCCAAAGGCAAGTTTTGAGCTCCTGTTTTGGAGGTGCCTGGCGCTAAAGTTTGGTCAGTCATGAGGGATGGCACCTCTAAAACACGGCTGAATGGAGATGTGTTTGTGTGGGGGATTTCCTGCTGCTGCTGCTGGGACTATCCCTTGCAATGGTGGAGCTGTTAGCAAAGAGGATCAGGAGATTTCCAAATGCAAATATCCACCTATAAATGTAAAATAAAGAGCAGTACTGCTGTTGCCAGCTAGATTGACTGAGCTGTGCCTGGTGATGGATTTATCTGCAAACTCCATGTGTAATCCTAGGACTAGCTGTAGCAATAGAAGAATAATGTCTGTATACCTCCACCTGCACATCCTAACACACAGTACAACACGGTGTGCGCACAAACACACAACCCCACCGTGAATGTGTGCATCCACATATACACATGGAGTTCAGACCTGTCATTCAGAAAGACCCAAAAGCAGAGTCAGCACTGCCCGCACCACAGGGCACACACACCCCACCATGTGCATACACACACATCGTTTATGTCACAACTCCTGCTGTTATGCACACTTGCAACCAACCACACACAAACATGTCCCCTGTTCCTGTTCATAGGGACATGCACTGGGACATGCACCACACACACAAGAAAACACCCACTGTTCACACACACAGTATTCTGGCACACTGTTGGCACTGCACATACATACTGCACCGGGACAAAAGCATCTTTGCCAAAAAGCCAGCCCACCTTGTGAGGACAACTTTAAAGCAAGAACAAGGGGGAAGGAAATGAGAACCCACAGATAAGAAATGCTGGACAGTGTTGACAAATGTGTGTGGGAGGATGTGGACAAAAGGGATGCTAAAAACAACCACCCCCCTCAAAGCTATGCACACATGTTAAAAAGTGCACAGAAGACAGCCTGGTGAAGGAAACTCATACTCTTTGAGGGAAACCAGATCTGGGCTCCTCTCTTGAGGGACCTGTATATGAATATATATAACTGGGGGAACAAACAGGAGGAATTTAAGGTCTGTGTGCACCAGCAAGGCTATGATCCCATTGGGATCACCGACACATGGTGGGATAGCTCAAAAAAAAAAAAAAAAAAAAAAAAAAAAGGAATGGCTGGGAAAGGAAGGAGCAGGAGTTGCCCTTTATGTGAGAGTGAAAGAGCAGCAGGTATGCATGGAGCTTTGCCAGGGACCAATGATGATCCAGCCGGGAGCTTATGAATTAGGACTAGAGGGCAGAGCAAATACTGGCAACAGTATGGTGGATGTCTGTTACATCCTGGCTGGGAAGAAGCAGCAGATGATTCCTTCTTTGGACAACTGATAGTATGTTAAGAACAGAATGTGATACTTGTGGGCTTTCTCTAAAGAATTAGGCTTATTTATACCACCTAAGGCCTTTATGATGAGGAGTTCCAATTCCTGTTCCAAATCCAAGTAGTGCTTACATACAGATACACACATACCTCCTGGTTGTGCAGAACACACTCTGAAAATGCAGCTCTGGATGTCTTTTTGCCTTGATTTCTTCTGGCAGGGAATGGCTGTTCAAATCAAAACAAAACAAAAGTACTCAGCAATCTCTGTATTTTAGACTAACAGAAAAGAGCTTCAGAAAGACTGAAGGACACTGAATAGTTGGTTAATAAAATGTCAGAGGACATTCATTTCAGATAAGTAAACATCTGGGGGAGAAAAATCCAAGATCTTAACTTTACCTGCACAGTGACAGTCTATGACCTGTTGGTCAAGGAGACTCAAAAAACACAAAAGAGATGTCCATGAAAGCACAAGATCTTTGCTCAGCAGAGGTCAAAAGAAGCAAAGCAAATGTAATTGAAAAAAAGGAAGATAAAGTCCAAAAAACGAAATCCATTAAAGCATTAAGCCCTCTCATGGATTCATCATGTGCTTTTAGCCCATATATTGTGTGCACCTCTCAAAGAACAAATACACCAAAGTCTCTGTAAGTCTCTGTAAGTCTGTAACACCCCAGTATATACGGCCCTGTATACCATATAGTAAGTATGTACTTCCTAGGCAGCTGCTATCCAACACTATCCAGAGAGTACCAGCCTGAAACAACCTCTCCTTGTGCCTGGTCTGTAAAGCTGCTGGAGTAATTGCATTTACCACCTCTGTATCCATTGCAAAAGCATCTAAGAATGCCAGGTTAGTTAACTATATTTGAGCTATGCCAGGTAACACACCTGGAAATGTTTGCTGGCGTTAAAGAGCTGCAGTTGTTTGGAAGCTCTTAAAGAAGATACCAGGAGGAGTCACAAAGCTCTTGGAAGAACACAGTGTTTCTCATGGGTATCACACTTACTCTTGCAATCAGTCTGCTAATAAGTAATTTACCTGACCTTTGGTCAAAAGCCTCACTTTACTGACTACTAGCAAAGTTAGTGCTTTTGTGCTGGGGGTACCATGTCCTTAACAATGAAGCTTTGCCTCTGAATATATTGGGAAGCTGGCAGAACCCTGGCATTGAAGACCCTGCCTGGATACCGATTAAACAACCAAATCCCAGCACCTCCAACTTTCAGCAAGCCAAATCAAAAAGATTGCTGATTCCAGCACTGCAATTTAGTTATCTGAGAGGGGTGGAAACATGTCTGTGCCTCTTTTCCTGAGGAATGTGGACAATCTGCCTCACCTTGTGATCTGCACATTTTTGTCTGCGTCTCTTCATTCTCACTGGCAGGTAAAGAAGTACCTGGGCCTGGAGAGCCGGCAATACAGACACCTCATCAATATCATTAGCGCAGTCCCTGTTCATGTAATCTGGCACTGAGAAGAGGTTCAGGGAGAGGAGCGCTGCAAGCTCTTGAGAGTTCAGGGACATCAGTGGAAACCTTGGTTTGATGCGCCTCCCGTTTATGCATCGTGCTTGGATGTAGATAGGATACACTTTGCTTAATGGCACAAACAGTGTTCGGATGCTTGGACGCAGGTAGGAAACGACAGAAGCTCTTGGGCACTTGCCCAGTGACCATTCCAAAAAGATGTGTTTTTGTTGTAAGTCCTGTGTTACATCTGCAAGAAACGTGCTTTTTTTCTGGATATCTGAGGCATCTGACATGTCTCTGACAACCTCTTCTTTTTTGTCATTATATCAAGGATGTGCAATGAATTGCACTGTAGTGATCTGCTTGTTCCTCAGCCTGACAGTGACGGGTGCTCTAGTAGTAGCAATAGTCATTGAGGATCATTTCAGAAGGTCAAAAAAACTCCCTACCTGGCCCCTACCTGATGCTCTAGAAGGATGTGGGTCCCAGAGCTCCTCCAAGAGAGGCACATGTCCGAGAATGTCTCCCAGATGTCATCAGTAGTTTGTGTGTGGGGAACTGGCTCCCACCCTCCATTTCCAGCAATTATGCTGAGACCTGAGGGTCTTGGCGGACAAGACACAAAATACGATCCAGCAGCATTCCCCGGCAGCCAAAGGGGCCAAAAGCATCTGGGGCTGCATGAGCAGGAGCACAGCGAGGAGCTCAGAGGGAATGATGATCCCTCTCTAGTCAGCACTCATCGGACACCACATACAGAACACTGCGCCAGCTTTGAGTCCCTCGAAAGACGCTGGTAACTGGGAGCGCAGGGAAGCCCGCAGGGTCCCCCCGCGCCCCGCGCTCGTAGGACGCGGGGGGCTCAGAACGTCCCCAGGCCCCGCGGGGCTCCACGACGCCCCTCGCGTGACGCCCCTCGCGTGACCCCCCCGCTCCGCCCCGCGCGGCCAACGCG